CTACTGTTTCCTTTAACACCTCAATGCCTGGCACTGCCGGGTCTGGTTTCGATTATGCACCATCAGGGCGCTTCTGTGTAACGAACTTGAACGGGTGACCGGTGTCGCTCCGCCGACCCGAACCCCACAATTCAATCTCACAAAGAATAGACTACCGCTTCGCTTGCAGATTCCAATGTTAATATATATTATATATAAAGACATGGATATAGACGACTAGTGAAAATGGCAGTTCAAACGGAAATAAAATTTAACAGTTGATTATGACAGAAAAAAAAGTCTGTTTACAACATTCACAGAGACATAATGGCTTAACTTTGTTTAAACTACTTTACATTAAACAATTGATAAATGATCCTATTAAAACTTCTTTTTACTATGGTTTTCAAAATGTATATTAACGATATATAATCTGCGTACCATCTGGCGGCCTCGCTACCAACATGCTCCAAAGTTAACGCTTACATTTTATTTTCTATAAGTGAGCTATGAGCCGACAGTTCTTAGAAACCATCACTAAACGTCCTACAAGATAAACTTCTAGCCATTTCTCAAGTGCTATCCTGAAAGCATGTTCACTTCAAATGCTTGAGACCCGCACGTCTTTCGTAACAAGACACAGCAACTCCTCAAAACTGTGTATCTTAGCAAAGCAGAGTGAGTTTTTCGATCCTCGGACCTCTGCGACACTCTTCTTACTGTGTATTTTCTATGAATGACAAAACTATTTTTTCTGGAAAATAAAAGAAAGTGTGGATTCGATTAGTCAAAATATCATTTGGAAAATATTGGATTGTTGAGAGAGATCATTTTGAAACTAGATTTATTTACTGGACGCGGGGCATTTCAATGAAATTATGAAATCATGTCCTATATTTGACATTTAATAAATGGAAAGGATTGGACTAAAAAAATATATGTGCATATTAGCAGAGCGAGGTGTCCATCCTTGGACCTCTGGGTTATGGTCCCAACACGCTTCCACTGCGCCACTCTGCTGATTACGAATATATTAGTAGGAACATTTAGCTGAAGTGGGTTATCCAAATTGATAATCACTTAAGGCAATTTGGCTTCAAATGTCTTGTTAAATAGTTATTCAATAATCTGTATATTGTATAAGAAATGTTAATAAATCACCAATCACGTGGGACTTAAATCCGACCATGTACATCCTGACTAATCAATTCTTTCTTTAATTATTTTTTACATACCATTTCGATCAAAGATATCACAAGAATCCGCTGTATTTGCAAGTAAAGGAAAAAGGTAGATATTTGGAATCTGATCAGTACGAAATCGACATGAGAGATATGATGAATCTTGTTTTGATAATTCCTAAAGGAAAACGATTATAAACATGTAAATTTTAATGACTACATGTACTACGTATCTTATTGTCATTTGCAATCAGTTCTATTTTTTTACAATGTTAAACAACATTACTCATTATATCCATACATGCAGACAAAACTAAAGGAGATGACATACCTACAGTTTGAGTTTGCTGTCTAATCCTTATTCATCTACCGCATGCGATTTTGTATGAATGATGTTGTTCATGTAATTATTGAATTAAAATGTTGTTAAAAGTAACATTATTTTTCAGTATACACTATCTGTAACTTTGCATTTAATTGTCATTGTAAATTCATCAAAGTGATATCAATGTGAACAGTAAAGGAACGGAATTTTGCATTGATTATGAAAACTTATG